TTTAAAAAAAAATGTTTTAAAGGACATGCTTTAAAGCTCATGGGAAGGTTGAAAGCAGGAGGGTAGAAAAGATATTCTAAGCAAAATAAAGCTGGAAAAAAGCAATATCAAGTAAATTAAGGATAAAGGGTATCACTACTTAATAAATAAAACAATAATATAGTGGAAAGATTTTAAAATTCTGTACTTGTGTGCAATTTATGACACAAGCTCAAATATGTAGTGAAAAATTAATGTTAATAGAAATTTAAGAAGAAATTGACAAATCTACAATCACAGTGGGAAACTTAACATATCTCCCTCAGTAATTAATAGATTCTGCACACAAAAAATTAATAAGAATATAGATTTGAAAAGCACAATTATCTGGAGCTAATCCACATAAATTGACTATTTCATAAAAAATTTTAAAATGCATCTCCTTTTAGGCACACAAGAAATATTGGGTTGTTGGAAAAGTCATGATGCATTTTTGCAATGAAAAACATAGAAAAACTATGTTATGACTTTTCTGACAACCCAATATTTTCAAAAACTGGCAATGAATTAATCCATAAAGCGAGTCTCAACAGATTACAAAGAACCAGCACCATATAGTCCACATATTCTTTGGCCTCAACAAAGTTAAATCAGAATCCAACATGGTGCTCAGAACAGTGCCAGGCACTGGCTAATGACTGATTAAAATAAACAAATTCTCTGCATTCATTAAGCTTTGCTCTGGTAAGGTAAATAGGCAGAAAACGACTAAATGAGCAGATACATAATATGATGCCAGCTAACAAAGTTATTAAAACAATAAAGTAGGGTAAGGGTCTAGAGACTCATCAGGGTAGAGAGATGCTAGTTTAGATCAGTACCCAGGGAAGTACTTAGAGACAGTGACATTAGAGCAGAAAGGTGAATGAGCCATGGTTGTGATGGGTGTTACTGTTATTGCTCATATTGCTATTGTTATTGCTACCACCAATATATCAAAAAGGAATGTTTGTGTGAGGCTATCAAGCAAAGACAAATGATTGAACAGTGAACACAGAGCAGTTGAGTTATACAGATTACCTCAAAAGCAACAAGACTGAACTATTGGGAGTGGTTTAAACTGCATTGTCCTCCCCCTCACCCTTCCAATCCCCGCTCTACTCAAGACCCTCCTA